AAAATGGAAATGGTATATGCTAGCTTATATTGGGGTTATAGGGGTTATATAGCGGGTAATATTGGGGCTATATTGGGGGTTATATAGGGGATATTTTGAAAATTTGAACTCTTTATCTGAAGCGCAAAAAGCATCACACTGACATGGGCTTTTGATCAAACATGCTACAGCCATGCGTTGTCTTCCTGCTCGGCGGCAACAATGTTGTTGAAGAAACACGTCAAGCAGTACGCCTGCAGATTCTCGCATAAGACATGCTAAGGTTCTCAAAACTGCCACGGCTCTGAGTCGAAAATGACTCCCTCTCTGCACGTTCTACAAGCTGAGACGTGAGACCTCTGAATGAGTAGGAGCCGGACGCAACCCACGGAGGAAAAGCGGTGGTGAAGCGCATCTGCACCTAGCATCAGACTCGCTAAGCCAAACAGCATTTTAGCAGAGAGCGGCTTGAGACAGCCAGCTCATTCAACGTACACAGACATTATGGACATGTAAGGATCCAGCGAACCATCACAAGACGTCCAGGTCTCATTGTTACCTGAGGCAAGCAGGCTTCACGCTTCACAGCAATTTGCAGCAACACAAAGGACATCCGCAAGTACACGCACCTTGCCTGCATGGACTCGGCATCTTCATCCCAGGGCTTCAGTTCCAGCGTGCCATTCCTCTGCCGGATTTATTTGCATTAATTTAACACCACACCCATACACGGAGTGCACAACATACTACATCACAGGCCTGGAACGGTCTACATCTTTGTAGCTACCGTGGAGTACGACTCACAAAGTAAGACTGTCTAAGCTCGGGTGCTTCAGTGCGCATCTGTGCAGAAGCAAACATCTGTGCACATGCTGCAAAATGATGCACATCTGAGCCATGCACTCGGGACCAAGACACCAAATGCAGATTAGCCTTCAGGTGAGCAGGCAGTGGCGAGACTCCGTGGCAGTTCTTTCATGCCTCGTGTCTACCAAGCTCCGGCCTGTGGCTGCTGATGACTTTCAACCACTTGCTGCAGACCTGGCAGACTTCGTGCAGAAGGTTGAAGCCGCTCATCTACCCAGGGTCTCCCTCGCCAGAAGCGTAGCCTCCTCTGTGAGCGCTGGACCTTCAGACTTTGGCTTGGCCGCCTCCCAAGTTTGGGCTGCACCCAGTTTCTGCCATGCAGCCAGATGGATTGGGCGCAGCCTCGTGAAGCAGCGAGCTAGATCTGGAAGTCACCTTGAGCCAGTTCAACTCAAGAGCCTAGACTTCTGGGCAGATCGCCAAGTGAAGTTCCATTGTCTCCGTGGCACACCACTGCATGGGCCGCATGAAGACAAGAAGGTTAGAACAAAATTCTGCGATGCAGAACGGATGTTGAGAGATGCTGCTTACCATACACTTTGACATTCACATCCAAAGTTGAGGTCACCCTGATGCTGAGGCACCTCCTTTCGTTCGAGAATGCCCACTTAGCAAATGTCTTGCGACTGAATTGAATGTGTCCTGAGGCCGCTGGCCGGCATCTTGGCAAGAGCTAGGTGCGGGGAGAGCAAGTTTGCAAATCGCCTGGCAATGATACAATCAAACCCAAAACACTGGAAAAGCAGCACTTAGTGCATTCAAGTCTACAGCAAGTCATGAGCGCCGGAAAGCAAAGCCAGCACTCAAGCTAAGCAATGTCAATGCAAAGCTGAAAATGATGAATTCTCGCACAGCGCCACTCACACAGCGCCAGCAAAGGAGGAATGGCAAGCACCACAAGCTTTTCTTGCCGCGTCGCAGCTTTGCAGAGTCAGATTGGTCCTGCTCTGGACTCAGGCAACGCAACCCTGACTTTGCTGCGGGTAAGGTTGGAGGGGCTCATTTCAGGATTTAATACGAGAAGTGAGTAGTGTGTCTGTTGGCTAGAGATGTACAAATCTGCCCTGACTACTAGTCTGCACATGTTTCATGATTACGTACACCGTTGCTGCACCTGCAACCTGCGTGCCTGACAGGTGCGGCTGAGTCTACTTCGTCTCAGTATGGCTGATACCGCTGGCCACAACCTCCTGCGCAGCCCTGGCCCCACTGGCCATCACAGCCGCAACCGCCGCAAGCACCGCCGCAAGCACAGCCACAAGCGCCGGGGTAGCCATGGCAGCCGCCACAGCCAACAAAGCCAGCGCAACCTCCGCATCCTCCACATCCTCCGCACCCTCCACACCCTGCGCACCCTGCGCACCCACCACAAGCTCCGCAGCCTCCACAGCCACAGGCGCCACAGCCTCCGCAGCCTGCGCAGCCGCCACAACCGCCATGGCCCCAACCACCTGCATCAGCTGAAAGTAATGGAATCTCGCCAATGAAAAAAGATCATGTTTGGTCAATGCTTTTTCCTCTGTCGCGCCTTTGCCTCCCTTCCGCCGATCAGAGGGTCGCTCTATTTTGATCTCTTCTGCATCACCTGATTGCTGCGTCCACGACACGTCACAGCACAAGCAACGGAACAGCAACGAAAGCCAAACCCTGCGGACGCGTGGCTTGGCCGGAACTTGAAAGCGATCATGCCAGCAATGCATGCTTCAGCCTGGCACCGGAGCTGAAGTACAAGGAGAGGACTTTCGGGCATCAGGGCCGGAAACCCAAGTAGGTATCGGACTATGAATGATGGGTGAAAACCGACCCGGCTTACTATGGGATTCCACTGCACTCAACTGCGTACGTCAGACTGCAACACTGGCAACAGAGCTGACAACTGCCACTTCAGCGCTGGATGTTGCATGGTTCAGCTGGAGGTTGCGTGTTGCTAGCGCATCTCTGGAGAAAGTCTGCTCTGAAACATGCGTGCGGTCCTGGGAATGTCGCATGTAAAGCATGTCTTCTAGTTTGTCATCAATCAGATAGCAACACTGGCGCGTGAGTGGCCTTACAGAAATGCAAGCGCCAACCTTGGCCATGCGGGAAGCGGTTAGAGCGATTCACATCTGACAGGTAGCGGAGTTTAGTGGCTCCAAACTGTCCACTGCGCAGCGTCGTGAGTCATGCGAAGTGCGGCGACAAGTTATGCTTCGCAGTGGCCACTTCTGCAGTCTCTGGCTAGCCTCCCTACAACTCTCCAGACTGCAAGAGCTGCTGTCCCAGGACTAACGCGGATGCAATCCACATGGTATCAGCTGACATCTAAGCTGCTATGAGCTGCTGCTTAACATGGATGAACATCCACTGATGGGTGGAATTTCTACCCTAGACCATAGCCACAGACAACCTGTCACCTCAGCATCAAGGCTGAGCTTGATGGCTATCTTCATGCCAAAAGGGCTGACATTTCATACCAAGATCCGGAAACCTCAGGGCTTGGCTTCAACGGCAAGAATCCCTTGAGGTGCAAGGCATTGGACTTTGGACTCAAGGTCATTGCACGTCTGAATCGCAGAAACACCACACCCAGGCCCTACAATGTCACTGCAGAGATGATCGAGCAGCGCACATGACACTCCTGATTCAACACACTGGTCATAGCCAGAATCAAGCCAGCTTGTGCAGCAAGACTGCAACCTAGCAAAACCTTTCTACAGTCCTACGCTCTTGCAGCTCCGACCATGAAGAGAAGCACATCATCAGGCTCAGTCCCTAGACTCTAGGAGACCTCTTGCCTCAGCAGCAGAGGCATAGCGAACAAAGGCACAGAGCTGACCACTCCTTTGGCAGAGTGGGATCTCTTCAGCTGGGTTGCACAGGACTTGCAAGCCTACGCGGTCCTGGACCTAGCTGGCAGGATGTTCACCTCATCAACGCTGCCAAACTGGCCGAATGCCTCCATCGAGCATGTGCTCGGGGTGCAAGGCCAGAATAAAACATACACCAAGACACCTTCAGATAGACGGAGAAAGTCCTTGTCGTTACTATTGAAACTATTATTATTGTTATTATTACCTTTCTGTATTATCTTTCTTTTTGTAAGGAAAATGGAATGCCAACCCCACCTTGAACATGTCAGCCTCAGTGATGTCACCAGGAAGGTTGCCAACCTCAGCGGGGTTCCCTGAAACTGTGAGCTATAGTCTAAACTCCGTTTAGGAGGGTCAATAGGGGATTATTTATCCCTCTGTATTTAGGTTGTTTTTCCCCCCTCGGACTTTTACGTCTGCCACAGGCAAGAGGTTCGGGTGACCGATCAGGGCAACTGTAGGGCACCAGTATCCACCATCGCTGGACCCTTTGCTCAAGCAACACCCTGTGTACATCACATTTGCTGATCGTATGTCACCCTTCAGGCTCCGTCTGCACAAACACATCCTTGCCCTTGGATTTACTATGTAGGGTTTTGGGTTTAGGGTCTAAACTCCTTAAAGGGGATTATATAGGGGCTTGTATAGGGGAGTTTTATGGGGTCATTGAGAGGGAGACTAGGAGTTTAGACTATGGCTCATGTGACAAGGTGCTCCGACAATGGAACTGAGCTTCCAGCCCAAAGCTTCTCGCCATGGCCATGACCTTTGAATCCACCTCCACCGCCACCTGAGTACAGCCAAGTACTATGAAGTGGAACAAGAAAACCTACATGCTTGCACCATTGTCTATTCTCGTCACATCCGTAGGCGATTCTCCAAATTGCTTGTTTGTCCGAAACGTGCTGTCAACACCATGCAGCAGTGTGCGGCCCGGCCTTTCTGAGCAGGTGATGGTGGGGGTGGAGGTGCTGCAGGCGGGGGTGGCGGTGGCCCTCCGCTTGGCGGCGCCTTGCTGCAAAGCATCTGAACACTGTGCCCGGTGCGCTGCGAACACTGCCACAACCTCTCTGATCACTAAAGCCAAGCTCGGCGCAGGAAGTGCTAGACTCGGGCCCTTGCCAGCTGGCTGGCCTTGCACAACATAACGTGAATGCTACATCGGACAAGTATGTCGCGAGAAGCTTGCCTGCTGAATGCCCATAACTATGACCATGTCCTTTGTGCCCCTTGTCATCGCGGTGGGGCCTCCAAAGGTAGGATATGATGCTGTTCTGACTTTGGCACCCTTTCCCACCGCCTGGCCCAGCTGACTCGCACGGTTTCAGCAGAGTCCTCGCGGAACTGGTACATGTCCTCAGCAAGTGGACAAACTTACGACGGGCTGGTGTCCCTTGACCTACGTCCGTTGGAAGCAAAAACATCCTGAGTCCACTGTGTAGTAGACAGACAGTTTCCAACACCATTTGTACAAACAAACCTGCAGAAACAGCCAGGTGTCATTGAGCACAGCCAGAGCGGCTGCCGCATCTTCCTGGAGATCAGGTCGAGCAAGGTGGTGCTGCGATGCAATCCCACTATCTCACAGGATTTTGATACGTCGCTGGTTTTGGAGGTTTCTTGGACATCTCGAGAAAAAACTCTTAGCACGGCTGCTGGCCGTCTCAGTTTTACTGCATGAAAGCTGACTCCTTGTCAACAAACTTGACGAACCCGGTGCGGTCTGTCCTGCGCAATGCATGCTTTTTGAAGACATGCCAAGATCTGAAGGAAGCTCCACAAGAAGTCTAACTGAGCGAAGGCCTATCTGCAGCTCTTGCACCAAGGACAATCACCTGTGTCTGCCATCATTTTGACTGTGCACACCATTGCCTTGCTCGTGCAAGGGCTTCAGTACTGCATCCAGCCTCTTCTATTGAGCCGTAGACGCCGAAAACCTCCCTGAGCTCCTCCTGTTACGTGCATGCTGCCGTCGGTTGCTGTCTAAAACATCCTTGAAAACTTCGATTCGCTGATGAGTTAAAGTCGTCAATTGCTCATTTGCCCTGCGAAGGTCATGAGCCTCGGCAATGTCTTGAGGCAGGTTGGACAGGTACAGCTTCCGGTCCGCATCCATAACCTTTCAAAGCACAGGTTCAAGCCAGAAACACTTGTAAACGCTCACAGGCGGCACCAAAGCAAGGATGTGAACGACAACTCAGGGCGAAGCAGGGTGCGCTACTGTCGGTGGCGACAGAAAGTTGTTCTGGATAACTGGAGTTGGCTGTGTGTGTGAAGATATCTGGTTGCTTGGGTCAAATCAGCTGGTGCTGCTGGCAACGCATCAGTCAGGTTGTTGTTTCCTACTCTTCAGCCTGATGTTCTTGCTGTCGAGCGAGGTCAGCCACGCGGCGTCCGCAATTTTGTTCTGCACACATTCAGCAAGACATTCCATATGCCAAGCTCAAGCTATAAATGAAGCCCAACCAAAAAGTCTAAACTCGCACCGCAGTACGAAAATTCGGCGTCGAAGTAGCGAAGAGCTGCACCATCACGCCTTCTGCTGTTAGCGGATCCAACTTCCGTTGAGGGGAGCAGGATCAGGAAGTAACAGCGTGTCTTGATGCTAGCAGCCTAAGCATTAAAAAAGCATCCCTAATTTTGGAAACGTCCATTTGAAGCAAGGCATAGCAAGGATTGGCTTGCCGGCGTTGGAGTTTAGGGTTTTGGGGCTGAGGGATATTACTAATACCCCCCCCAAAATACATAGTAACTATGCATAGAGAAAATGGAAACTACTGTTTAGCGTTTAGGAATTAAGGTTTGGGGTTTAGGGATATTACCCTAATAATGGAGACTCACATGGAGAAGAGTATGGAAAAGAAACCGGAGAGGAGTCGTGACCTTACACATTGTTCGTGAACCTCACCCCTAGCCAACTCGCACAGGTTCTCCGGCAGCACTTAAAGTGTGGGCGCCAAAATATGCCGACCCGGTTACTTGATTATGGCCGCGCATGCTGTCGAAAGATCATGTGTGTTCTTGCCCTGGATCAAGTGAGTTTGGAAGGCGTCATCATGCTTCGAGCTGCGCCCACGACCAACATATCTTGCAGGGGTGAACAGCAGATTGCAACCCAACCAGGTTTTTCTTTTCTGGGCCCTGGCTTTCAGGGCTGGGAGTCCCCAAACATGCGACTCCAAGACAATGTCCCTACCAACATCAAAAGTAACATTCCCCAAAGCTTTCCAATGTTAATAACAACATGGTCAATGTTCGTCTGAGACCACAACACAAAGCTCTCGGTGAACACTGATGCCAATGCATTTTCAGTGCTGACACCTGCCGTGGGAAACAAACTAGATACCGCATGCGTCTTCATCCACTGCCTTAATGTCACGCGGAAGCCAGACGAAACTTGTCATTACAAATGGCACATGGCGGCGACGTCTTGAAGTCACAACGTGCCAGGCCCGCCAATATCTGCGACGCGGCAGGAGCCTTCTTTGCCCAGTAGGCCCTCAATCCAAGGGATCGTCACATGGGAGAACGCCAGAACAGGCACCTCGCCTCCAAGATGGTGGCCGGAAGCGAGACCTTGTAAGGCGCTAGAGGCAGCAGCGAACCCGGTCAGGACTTTTGCCGCAACTGGCGTTCAGCTGGCTCTTCTCCCCTGAGGTTTCGCAAATCAGAATCCAGCCCTTGCCAATAAGTGTCGGGCGAATCTGCCCTGCTCCTCTACCGCAGAAATGTCCTTCAAAGGTCTGTTGAGACTTACATAAGAATGCGAGCGGAGCACCGGGGAGCAGTAGATCAGCGAGCATGCCCCGATCTTAGGCTTTGGCAGCAAGCACGCTGTCCAAATACTCTTCTTCAACCTCAGGGAAGTGAGGCTCCACCCCTATATCATCCCTATATACCCCTTTCTAACCCCTAAATAACCCTTATAGAACCATAAGCAACTACCTTGTGAATCTTGCTCTCAGGTGCTGGCCTCTGGATCGATGACGCAAAAACCTTGTGGGTTGCAAAATGACCTATTTGGTAGTTTTCCAAAATCGGCGGAACCTGATCTAGACCCCAAAATGCCAAAGTCCTTATTATGGGGACCTCAAAAGGGTACCCCTAATTTTGCGAAACCCTCGTATATCCCCCATAACCCCTATAAAACTCCTACATAACCCTATATGCCCCCTAGTATTTAAAGCTGTGATCTGACTTCCCGCGCCTTTCACAGACAGATGCTGACAAATACTTCGACCCAGCGTTGCCTCGGTTGAAAGCGGAAACACCACGGGGCTTAGGGCTTAGGGTTTAGGGTGTTCTCAAGGTCGTTTTAAGGGGGGGACCATTGGGAATACACTTCCTCGGAAGAAGGTCCTAACCAAAAAGGGAACCTAGCTTGTGGCCACTTTAGGGGCAGAAACTCTGAACAACTACCACATGTTCATTTCTTGTATATGATAATTTCCTCAACGATAGTTTCCTTAATCGTTGAACCCAATATACGACAATCATTGTTATAAGTCCCCCACAACTGGGCCCCTGATTTTTTGAAGCTCCCACGTAACAGCATGGTTGAAAACGGATTCGCACACCAAAAGAGCCGATGCGTGCACCAAAAAGAAGGACTCAGGCGCCACCATTAACCCAGGATTCGCGCACTGCTGTCTGCGGATTCGGGCACAATGGAGCATACCAAAAACGTCCACGGAGTCACACACCACCGATTTGCGTGCAGGCCCGGCGATTTGCGTGCTAAAAAAACTTACGCCAAGGCGTTTTAGGGTTTAGTTGCTTAGGTTTTGGGTCACGCCCTCCTTCCCCTAGAAAAAAAGGAACAAAACCTCTCGCAGCTCTGAGGGATCTTGGGGATTGATTTAAAAAGGGGTGGTCTGGGGCCCAGGAGCCCAGGGCTGCCAGATGAAAGCGGACCTCAAAACAATAGGCATTAAAGAGGATGGGCATTAAAGAGGATCCGGAGGCCTGATGGACTACCCCCTTTGCACACATGATTAGAGCTAAGAAGTTTAAGGTTTTGAATCGGAGTTTCTAATAAAACTGGTGGGCTGTAGGTTAGGATTTCGTATCTGGATTCTGGATGTAAAGCTCTGAAGACTGAGTTGGACAAGGATTTTAAAGGGCATGCCTTTAAAATTTACAGGGAGAGAAAACCTTCCTAAATTTTTGGGGCCCCAAAATCAAAACATATTATAGCGGACCTCACATCATAACCCCTGTCCCGGAATACGCAAGCCCCAGAACATAATATAGCGGACCTCAAGGCAAAACCGGGTCCAACATGAGGGTTTGGGAGTGTGAAGGGTTTAGGCTTCTGTATGTCCCCTTGTGGTTTTCAACAGCCTTCACGCCACTTCACCCTAAACCCCTGAACAAACGAAAATACACCTAAACCCTGAAAAACAAACCGTATAAACAGCCGGGACCCTTAAACAAAACTGAAAAACGCAAACCCTACACACCCTAAACCCTAAAAACACTTAAAACCAATCCCCCGCCCAATCATACTTATCAAAAAACACACGCTAAACCCTAAACACCCTGAACCCTAAGCACACCAAACCCGAAAAACCTTCAACCCTGAAATGCCAAACCCCAATAGCCCTAAACCCTAAACACCAAAAATACAAAACCCAAAATACCCTACACTAAAACCAAAAACCCTAACAACCCTAAACCATAAAAGACTCAAACCCTAAACCCTAAAAAGCCTGAACCCCAAGAACCTTATATCCCCTAAACACGCTAAACCCTAAAAAACCTAAATCCTTAAAACCCGAACCTCTAACAACCCTTAACTGGATTTCGGAAATTGCGGAAACAGGGGGTCTTGCCGACCCGAAACCCTGACCCAAACCCCAAACTCCCACCAACGAAACCCTACACCCTGAACACGCTCGAGACCCTAACCAATTCACGCCCCCAAACCCTACACCCCAAACACTCACGAACCCCAAGCCCGAAACCCTGCACGCATCTCCAAAACCCTAAGCGCCTGCCCAAGCCCTAGACCCTAATACCACTTGTGCGTGTAATTGACGCTAGAATCGAAGCATGTTGGTGCTTGAATCGGGGTGTTTTGGTGCTTGAATCGGTCTACTTCGGTGCCTGAATCGGACTGCTTTCGGAACCCGAATCATTGGTGCATGAACCTTGTTGTGCTGATCGTTGGTGCTTGAATCGTAGTGCTTGANNGTAGTGCTTGAATCGGGGTTGGTGCCTGAATCGTGCTTTTCAGTAAAACCAGCAGACAAGAACACTAGACCTCGCAGCATGAGCTGCAAAGCAGAACCAAGAAGGTGAGCAAACGAGTTGTTTGGCCTTTGTTTTGGCTCTCCTGACAAGGGCCTCCCAGACACCCAGCAGAGCGCACAACCAGAGTTCACATCCAGTTGCGGGGTTCAATTCCACGAAAGGTGAACTCCCAGTTTGCAGTCAAATCCACACTTGCTCCAACCGCTGGTAGCAATGATGCTGGAGATGCAGAAAAGTATTGAGAGCAGCCCTACACTTTTGACAAGCAAACTCTGCGCTTGTCGTAAGACTCTTCAAAGATGGCACCTCTCAAGTAATGCACCCCCGTTTGATCCCGTCTAGCTGCAGGGGTCCAAGAGTAACTCGCTGGAAACAAACTACCATGATCTTTCAAGTTCATATGACATTTGGCAAGTGCCCCGCCAGCATTTCAACAAGTTGCAAGTGAACATACCCCCCTTCCCACTGGCTCAGGCGGACAGCTCTATACGGTGATGTAACCCCTAATCATATGCCCCCCTGTATACCCCAGGTAGAGCCCCTATGTAACCTCTACGAGCATATGAGCTATGGTCCAAACTCCTAGTATCCCCCTTAATGAGAGTTTAGTCTATAGCTCATATACCCCACCATAGAGCCCCTAGAGCCCCTGTGCTCCACCAAGCCCGCGGCAGTATCCAAACCCTGTGCTCTCACATCTGGGCCCGTCGGGCGAGTTCTGGCCTGCCAGCGCAAGCATTTCTGAAGACCATGGCCCTCCTCTACGTGGCTCAACATACGGAAGCCCTTATGACTTATGACTCAATGCAGCATGACTTTCATGTAAATGAGTCTGTGAGGCCACTCTCAGGCCGGCCTTCTGCCGCATTGGCCAGAGAAGGCTGGGATCAGACCTGCAAAAAAGGCATAAAAATGTGGCAACTTTCGCCCAGGCCTTCTACTCACCCTGCCAGGAACTCCCAGCAAACAATTCTGAGAAACCCTTGAGCCTGCATGGCAAAGGTCATGCCAACTCCGTGTCGCAGCCGACGCCGCACGCAGAGTAGCTGTTTGTAAGACTGGGTGCTTGCAGAACTGACCTTTGTTTCGGAACACAGCATGCTTCAACTACGAACCTGTCGAATGGGCAAACTTTATGGGAGCCGTTGCCATATTTTGTAGCGTGATCATGATCGCTTGAGCGGCCGAAAGCTATCATGAATGCCCTCTACCTACGCCTGCTACAGAGAAGGTTGAGCCCGAAAGCCGCGAGCAGGTCAGCTGACACCAAATGGGGTGCAGCAGAGAGAGGCAGACAATAAGTTCAGCAGGACTGGTTTTGACGAGCTTCGACTCTCCTAATCCCCTGCAAGCACAGGAAGCCTACTAAAGGTATATCTTATGTGGCCCGGCGCAAGGCACTGCCTCTGGGCAAAACAGATTTCATCGCATGGACTTCCACCAGCTGCTTCGCTTTCAACTGCTGTGAAACAAGACGGAGGGGACCATATGCAAGCACTGCAAAGTCGGATTAAGCTGTGTGCTGCTGGAAGCCGGTTGCGGTCCAAGGTTAAACTTGGCGCCAGCACCAGCACCACATTTGCCAACTGGTCTCAGCGCATGCCATTCATCACCTCACAGCAGACTTGCAGATGACACTCCTTCACCTGCTTCTTGCAAGTACAGGGGGTACCTCCATGATGTTGCTGAAAACACCGGCGGCAGTGACGGCTGCACCAGCACCAGGACCTGGAAATGCCAGCACAACTCTGCCACAGAAAGTCAAATTGCTGTATACAAACTGCCTGCGTCTGACAAGTGATGCCCAATCCCAAAACAACATGCACCTTGAACAACAAGAGGCCGAGGGGTATACCACCTAAGTGCGCAGAGCGCACAAACATGCAAACAGCAGCAACAGCAGCAACTGGGAAGACCAGATCTTTTGTCCATATCATGCCTTCGCTGCTTTCATTCAGGTCTGACAGTGAGTCTGATACACATGTTGCAACGCAAACGTGTCGCTCCAGTAGCACAACCTACGTGCCTGTCAATTTTGTAACAAGGCAGGAGCCGTTCTAAGTTTCGGAGTTCCCGTGAACTATGTCTGATTAAGCTGTCAGCTGTCACCTGATTCTAAGGGAAGTCTGGAGCTTCTGGGGCTGTGGCTTGGAGGAGATCGCGCAAATATTGTCTGCAAACTGGGTGGAGGCAAAAGGGTGATCCTGCGAACCAACCAAACAAGATCAAGACATGCACGAGGCCACAAAGGTTACTATGCGTCCTTTGGATATCTGCCAAGCTTCACAGAGGCCTGCAGCAAAGTCGCCAGGAATGGCCAAACAGCTCAAATCGGCTAGTTGGTGCTTTCCCCCCAGCCTTGCCAGACTTCACGTCCACGGACCCAACAAATCGGAGCACCTCATTCGCTTTCTCAGCCTCTTCCAGAAGCGCATCCATCCTCGGCCACATGACACTTTCCAAACAAACCTCAAGAATCCATGGCTCTGCGCTTGCTACTTACTCTCAGACGCGGGCTCATCATCATATGCCTCTAGTTCCTGCCCAGTTGCGTTGAATAAGCAGGCAGCGGCGGCAACGACAGCGACAACTTGTCCTCTACAAAGGCATCCCCGAGTTTCTTGCCATCAGGGGCTTCCCAACTCGGCAGGACAATTGCGCAAGGTTCAAAACCGCTGAAGGCACGGACACGTGCACTTTCAGCTCTCTCTTTGAGTCATAGATGCTGCCTTCTACGCCATCAGAGCAGCTAGTCTACAAGGATTGGGATGGTCGTTTCCGCATCCAAGGCCAGATCTTCTGAAGCTTCTCCGGCACGAGGGACTTCACCTCGTGGGCTTTACGAACATTCCCATACAAAGGCAAGTACTGAAAGAATACAAGGACATCGCTGGGACATCATCAAGCTCGATCTTCAACCCAATTTCTCGGGCAAGGATAGTCACCTGCGTACTGCAACCCGCACCGTGAATTCCAGCTGCAGCGCCTGGACCCGCAATGAGCCTCGCCTTGCGCTGCACGTCCGTCCCTCCCAAGTCATCTCTGGGGTCCGGCCTGCGCGCAATCTGCAGGCAGGCCTACTCTGGGTGGCAGCCAGCTTGATCTATGCGTGGTTCCGTACATGTCTTGCCTTCTACATCTATCTTGCTGTTGCTGGGGCACCAAGCTCTGTGAAGCCCTTGTCCTTCGCTTCCTTCACCACTTCGGAAAACTTGACACCAGGCCTGAATGCACAAATGTTTTGGAAAATGGCGCGCGCAGTCAGAGATGCCGTTCACCGGGAGCAAACATCGGGCCCAACTAGGATCATGGAAGGACTTACTCCCCTCCACCCCTCCCGGTCAGAAGCCAGTGGATCTCCAGGGCTCATGCTTCCACGTGTTGAAGATGTAGGAGAGGGTACCGCTGAAGATTCCCTCGACCTGAGGCCATCAAGGAGAGATTGATGTGGGCATTTCTCAAAATTGGGGCTCCGAGGGACCCAAAACATACAGACAGGGATTCTAGAGGGTCCTTAATACTTTTTTTCTGTAAGGATTATCCCATATACTGGCAAACAGAGATCCTGTTTGCTGGGCCCTTGAAATTGGAATTGACATCTGCTGACTGCACGTGAAATTGCCTTTCCGAATGGGACCAAAAGGCGTGAAAAAGGTGGGACATCTTGCACAAACTGAATCCTAGTAGAATACGGAAGTTTGATGTGATTTTCCCTTATTCCCTACTATAACCCCAGTATATACCGTCTTAGATAGAATAGAATAGTTTCCATGTTCTTTTCCATTGTCTGTCCCAGGCCCTGGCAGTATCCACCTCATCACCAGCCCGTAGCAGTGCCTGCAGCGGTCCCACAACGGGCAACCCTGCGCCGACCTGAGCACTCCACTCTCCAAATGGGTGGCCCCTAGGAACCCAAAAGGATATATAGGGATTATTTATGGGTGATTCTATGGGGGATTACACGGGGATTATATGGGGATTATATGGGGATTACATGGGGACTATATGGGGATTATGGGGGGATTGTGGGTGTCCCTACAAGGGATTCTAGATTGAAACCAACAGGCAAACCTAGACTGGGACTCCCGGGCCCAGGACTGTGGCCTCGTACAGGAAGCGAGTGCCCTTCTGGCGAGACGCCTCCATGATTTTCTCCTGGCGCCAGGCTTCTCTTACCTTCAGTTAGCTGGGAATGAAGGAATGGAAAGGAAAATGGAAACTACTAGAATGGGCTATTTAGGAACATCCATTCCTTCATTCCTAGCCAACCAAAGGTAAGTTTACAAGAACAGCAGCATTGCTACGCTTTGGGAGAGCTGCCGTGCATCCACAATCCTTGCAGCGCTTCCAGAAAACAGTTTTCCCCATCTCGGGCCATGCGAGATAAGCAACTCCGGCTCAACAGTCTCTGGCAGTGCCGGATGGACTACTACAGGGTTGAACCAGAAGCTGGACAAAACCTGCGGAAAGAAATTCAAACCTCAGTTCAGTGGACCCAGGGCAGGCGTCCACACATCTATGCTCCAAAAAAAGCTGAGTAACCATGCCAGCAGAACGTAGCGGGGCATTGGTCCGCTGCCAGCCCGCTTGTTGGGTGTGGCAACATCTGCGCCGGCAAGAAGCCATGCCTGGTTGAGGATTGGAGCATCACACTATTAAGAATACTAATTGCAATAGCGAATTCATAACAATAATGTTGGTAATACTAACAATAATAACCATAGCGCTCGTACTTGTTGGGCGCTTTGTCTTGCAAACGCGGGACTCCAAGTGCGCTTGACCAACAGCTGCCAGGCTCTCGCAGGACTGGTCATGACTCCGCTTCCTGCCTCATAGAGCTCAGCAGGCGCATCCGATGCCTGGATATTCGTGTCTACGTCGGGCCAGCGCGGTAAATCTAAACTCCTAGTATCCCCCTTAATAACTCCTATACTAGCCCCCTATACAACCCCCTTCAAGGAGTTTAAAGTTTCGACTACAGCTCAAATGCTCTCTGGATGAACCCAGGAGACAGTGCTGCCAGGCCCCCAATGTTAGCATGCCGCTTTTCAGTGGAGGGCAGCAAAACACCCTCTGAATGCAGGTACCTTTGAAATTGACAGGATTTCCTCCACAAGAACCTCCACATTCTCATCCATTTTTTCCAGGCGCCGAGAGCCCCAAAAAGTCGGCTTGCCCCCTTGGACAAAATCAAAGGAAGCAGAAGCCTGCCTGCAATGCCACAAGTCCGCATCTACCGCATCTACCGGGCTTCGTTATGACCACATGCCAAAAAAGATGGCCGAGCTCGGTTCACCAAAGCCTCTCAGTGAGGAAGGAGGACAGCAATAGGGCCAAGATCACAATGCTGGTAAAATTTGCGGCATTTGATTCCAGGTTGCGATGGCACATTCACTTGAACCTGTCACATGTGGCTAAAAACCATGCATGAACATTGCATGTTATCACTGGAGCTGTTTATCCCGGCACTTGCCTGCCACAATCTCTTTCAGGACATATTCTGAGCCGCCGGCAGTGTTGTCCACAATCAACGCCCGGCCACCTCGGGGGGCAGCTCATTCCCACACACACGACTTCCTGAGGAAGGTGACTGACGGCAAACGATCTGCTTCTCTTGCTTAGGCCAACACCGCTGGCTGCAGCCAGATCGACTACATGCTGGCCTTACGTAAAGCCGACGCAAAGTCACCCTGGAGCAAATATCGGGACCGCTGTGCGCAACACCAAGCTTCTCCAAGTCTGCCGGCTCTTCCTCAGTGCGCTCTCTACATTGCAGGCCATTGGAGTCGTTGCTGAAACACATACCTTCGGTGTCAAGATGTTGTGAGGTACAGTCTTCTGAGCGGAGACACCGTATCAACCTACAAGATCCTACAAGTATGTGGCATGAGCCTTTTGTGACGGCCGTGGGGCCTTTGTGAAGTCGTCAAATGAATCTTCATGAACTGCTACATGCCACTTCTGGCACCGGAGTGTCTATGTCTGAGGCTGGTCTTCAGCCTCCAGCTTGAAAAGGTCGCTGGTGCAAAAAAGAACCATGTGTAAGCTACTTCTACTTAGCCAGGAATGAATGAGTGAATCCCTATAGCGGTCCCGATATACTCCCCAAGAATCTGGTACTTTCCATTTTCTTTTCCATTCCTTCACTCCTTGCTCCAGAGGTGAGTAATAACACACCTATATGAAGACTAGTTTCCAGTTGGCTCTCCCACACTATGGTAATATCTCCATATAGTCCCTATGGAATCCCCAGGATAACACCCTGAACCTTCAATCCTATACATCCCTACAAACCCTTTACACAGAAAGAGGGGATATATTCATGGGTCGCCCCTACTACTCCCCACTCTACTACAACCCCCAAGGTTCCCAAGGTTCCCCCTTAATTAACCTTAATTAAGCCTAATTATCGCTAAATAACCTTAATTAAGGGGGGAACCTAGGGGGGATAGTACGGAGGGTAGTGGGGGAACCTATGATATACAGGGTTTAGGAATTCCCAAACTTAGGGGTACCATTAAACCCTAAACCTAAGGGCCCACAGGGCCAACTTCCCCGCCTTGCTTTCGGGCCAGTCCGTCAAAGTCGCTGTGCCGGCAGGTAGCAAGGCCATGGTCTTAGCAGTCAAGCATATTAGGGCTTAGCTTTTTTTGGGACCTTTTCTCCAAGGCATATGTGCTTAGCATTTAGGGTTAAGGGTTGAGCGTTTAGGGTTGAGGGTTTAGGGTTTATATAGGATATCATCCCCCAATAATAGAGAATCAAATGGAAAAGAAAATTGAAAATGAAATGGAAGCTGGGATTATGCAGTTGTTTATAGGGGTTAGAGCTTCCTTGAACAAGGGATCCCTTTGCTGGGTCCCCGAAGTAAGGATGATGGTATATTGGGGTCTATACTTGTCCGTTTCCTTCCCATTATTGGAACAATGTTCCTACGTAATCCCACCCATTTTTCGTAGTTTCCATTTGTCACCGCCTTGATCCAAGGTCTGAGCCCGCGATCGGGAAACAGCAGCTATTTCGATGCGGACCTTTCCAAGGAGAGTGAGCCCTAAACCCTGAACCCTAAACCTTGGGTCATTCCCCCACCCAGTAACTGTCCTTAAAGGGGGCCTATTAAGGGGCTATTAAAATTCCTATTACCCCTTGTGGTACCTGTTACTGTAAGGGGGAATAACCCAACCTAAACCGTTTTTGGGCCAAGGTCATTTTTGAGGCTCAGGTTTGGACACCGATGTCCTTCTCCAGCTTTGGTGCCGCAGCACACATCTGTCCAACAAGCTCCTGCCCTCAGAATGGGTTATAGTCCCACTTAAGTAGATAGAATATGGCTTTGGGTATATTATAATAAGATCCCCATATGCCCCATATTCTATCTACTTCAGGGGGACGATATATAGAGGTTATATTGGGATAATGGAAAATGAAATGGAAGCTACTACTACAGCATGATTAAGTAAAAGTTGGGGCTACATAGGTTTTTTTTGGGATAATGGAAAAAATGGAAGCTACTACAGTATAATCGAGCAAAAGTTGGGGTTATGTAGGGGTTATATTGCTATATGGAAAAGTGTACATCCAACAAGTCCGCCGAGATGGCTGAGTTTGGGGCCAACAAGGCCATAACCGACCAGCCCCACCTGATGTGCTGTTAGAAACACGTGGTCAAGCAATTGCAATGGACCGTGGGCTTCTAAACTCCTAGGTTTGCAGCCCCTTTCCCTTCCAAGAGCAACCAACCAAACAAAAGCAGAGCAGAAGATAGCATCAGATTCATGGGCATATTGATGCAGCCGTGAACGCTGTACCTCAGACAGAGAGCTCTCGACCGGTACACTGGGACCCTGGCGTGAAGCGTCGGCATGCTAGTCCCCGAAGCTGCATATCGTGCCACACCTCACTTGTGCTGCAAATCATTGCAAATCACCAGTCGCACACTTGCCCGCTGATTGAGGATGCAGCTACCTCGCAAGCCGCACCGATGCGAGGTTGCCTTTCACAGCATTTGCGAATCAAAGGATGAGCTTAAACCGTGACACATTGTGACTCCGTCAGTTGCATGCAGGAGCAATTTGCGCTTTGACATCTGCATCGGGCACACTTTCCAAATCGTTAGAGGTTCTGCTGAGGCCTGGGCAGGGTGTGTCCGGCGCGCAGAGGCCTGGGAACCAGCAGCTCTCTTTTAGCAACTCCTCCACCATTTGTTGGAGCTGCAAAGGTTTTGAGGGAGGCACCGCCAAAATCGCTGCTGTGGAGGCAGCTGCAGTCAAAGCCTTCAGCAAACAAAAGCCTTAAAGCCTTGATCGCATTTGAATATTCCAACTTGTCTTCTATGCGGAATATCTTTTCCACGGAGCCACTGCCCCATTCAACTGAAGCAAACAACATCTGTCTGCACAGCGAAAAAAACTTTCAGGCAGCGCACCGGCTCTTACAACACCAGAAGGCATTTCAGCTTGCTGCCCGCGCTCTTTGCGACAGCGGCTCACACGGGACAGCCTCCAGAAAGCAGGCCGAGGCGTAACCGTCAGTGAGTCAACCGTTGAATGGAAACAAAGATAAAGAATAAAGTATGTCATGTCTGTGCACCTTGGCCTGTGCTCCAAGAGCCGACAAACTCCTTGGCGCCTTAGTGCAGCTTTAAGCAGAAGGCCTGGATTCCACCTTTGACGCCTGGGTGCCCAGACCGTGAATGGCGCTTGAAGCCGGCTCAGGCAAGCGGGCCCGGCTATGCTCGCCATGGCTGCCATGGCTCACAGGTACCCAGGGGTTTGAACGCTAATGCTGCAGGATCCTTCTAATCCAATCCGCTAATCCCACGAAGCAAAACTTGCCTGGTACATTTTGTTCCAACGGCTTGCGTCTGCGGCAGCTTAGGCCGTCTCGCCGCGGCCATCAGACACCGTCTCCAACTGCTCCAGCTCCTGATCCGTCAGCTTCTCTGCGGCCAAAGGCTCCTGGGACACACCCATGCAACATGTGCAAAAGTACAGAAAAACCAGCAGCTACAACTAGCAATGCGCAAGTGCTCTTGCCCAGGCAGCAACTGCGCATGCAGATTTCAATGTTCCCCATGGTCATTGCAAATTCTGATGCGAGTTGGAGTGAGCATAACAGAGAACACCATCCAATAACTAATAGCTTCTGCAGGTCCCGATCACCGGTCGTGGGCCAATTGCCGAGATCTTCCATGACCTGAGGTACCATCACAAACACCTCTGGACTCTGGACTTTGAGCAACAAGCGTGTGCATCCCGTGCACAAGGTAGCCACTAACCAGGTCTACGACCCGACGGAACTTGTTGTCGACAGAGAAACGCACTTGGGCAAGGCGGCCGTTCAGCCTTCCAGATTTGACGGTTTTCGGATCAAAGAAAGGTAGAAATTCTCCTCTTCGCAGCCTTTGGCCGTCTAGCTTCCTTCCACTTCTGCATTCTTCGTTGGTCTCGAACATCACGAAAACCTCTGCACCTGATCTGTCAGAACAGTAAGGAATCTTATGGACTGCCTCGGACAAACCCGTGGAAACATGGAGCAGCTTCCGGCCTCCCTCTCCGTGCCAGCCTAGTGCTATGTACTTTGGCTCCAGAGGAAGCAGGAAGTCGCGCACTTCCTCCTCTGTAACACCATCAGGCTTCACGAGATCGACAGGGAAGGTGATCTTTAGTGTCCTGCAAAGAAACCAGAATCAGCCCGTCCAGCAGTCTTACCCCATACTTGCTGAGGCTGGTCCTGGTCGTCTGTTCCTGGTTTGGCTTATAGCTCAGCGGCCTGACGAGATCCTCCATGTCCTCCGGAAGGAGGGCGTCGATGCGACGAATGTATCTGTCCAGCAGATGGAAGTGGCCTCAGCGTAGAGCACAAAGAGACCTGCCCCTACCTAGCTGCTGCTGCTGCTGCTGCTGCTGCTGCTGCTGCTGCTGCTGGCGCCGCTGCTATTGCATTCCTATATAAAACTTCCTTTGCATCAGACGGAGGGCCTTTCTTGCCACGACCTGTTTGCCCACGCCACTGCGACATCCTTTGCTTGCAGCAGGTCAAGAAAACACGAACGCACATGGACTTGCCCTACGGCACACATCGCCGCTTAGAAGAAAGCTAGAACAGGCCACGGCACTTTTTGATGTCTCAGCCGAGGCACGGGTCAGTAAACTTTGACTCTTGTCTCCACCGATGCTCTCGCCCAGGCTCGCGGCCCTACAGCGCTTCCAACTGCAGATTTGAAGGTGGGTTTCTGACGATTCTAAGAAGGACGCAAACTGGATTCGGGAACCTTTTTTGTCTGTCTCTGTTGAATTGTGTGTTGTTTTTCTTGTCTTTTCAAAGTCTCAGGCGAGAGCTCGATTTCATGCTGAAAAATGATGAAAATCATGGATGAAACCTGATCAGAAATTCTGAAGGATGATGAAATGTCATGAAAAGATGAGATCTGATGAAATATGATGAAGAACATGAAAATCATGAAAAATGATGAAAACACAATGAAAATGATGAGAAAGAATGAAAATGCTGAAAAAATGAGGAAACATGACGAAAAAGATCAAAAATGATGACAATTAAAAAAAAACGATGAACATTTTGCACCCCTGCAACATCCCGCACTGAGCAGATCAGCGCATTCACTCACATCAGCAAGCGCTCAGCACTCTAGTGAACAGCATGTGCCGTCGTCCGCTCCATTTTGCAAAAGATAGGCAGACCAAGCAAACATGCAAGAGTAGTACCGAACGTTATCACAGCTGAGGCGTTGATGGAAAGTACACGCGTCATGAGAAGTGACGAAGAAGATGAGAAATGCTGAATTATGCTAAAATATGATTCAAATCGTGAACACTGAAGTATGATGAAATATGATGAAATATGATGAAAAGGGTGAACCTGATTAAATATGTTAAAATATCATGAGAATATGATGAGAGTAATGGAAAATAGTGACACATCGTGAAACATGATGAACTATGATGAAATGTGAAAAAAAACATGGTGAAACATCTTGAAAAAGCATTGCGAATCATGGAAACTGCTGAAAAGTTTTTGGTAAATGATGAAAATGATACATATGATGAGAAAATGTGAAACATATCAAAAACGTCATAAATGTTGAACCATGCTGAAAAATCACGCAAAATGATGAAATCATCTGATGGACAAACAATGGTCAAGCATGGTCGGCGTTGAACAAACGCGTGGGTTTTAGAGGGGCGTAGGGCGAGACAAAGTGATCTGTGTGACCATCTCTCATTGCAAACATGGTGATGACATGATGCTTCCTTGTTACGGCAAGCATGGATGGCCTTTAAAAAGGCTGTGAGGTTGGGGGGAACAACAAAGGTAAAGATGATGAAAGTTAAACTACTGAGAGATGATAAAACTATGAAAACCCATGAGAAGCATGGAAGAACATGAAAAAGGTCGGAGAACGGCTGAAAAAGATATGAAGCTATTTCATGCACAATCATGAAAGCTATTGCCAGATAATGAAAATGATAAAAGAACATGGAAGTTGTTAAAAGATGATGGAATATTATGAAAATGCTGAACAGTGGTGAAACATGGTGACAAATGATGGAAAAACGGCAAGTGCTAAGCAGAAAGGAAGAAGCAAGACGCACAAAACAACAACCGGAAGCTAAAATCGGAAAGCAATGAGCACTCGGGAGATCGCAGGCAGCAAGAAACAGGAAGCAAAAGGCTGACAGCAAAAGGTAAGAAGCAAAAACGGAAAGCAAAAAGCATAAAGCAGAAACAAGAAGCAATGTGCAGAAGGCAACGAGCAGAAAACAAAAACAGAAGGCAAAAAGCCAGAGGAGAAAAGCAGAAAGCAACAAGCAGCAACTAACAAGCAGAAAGCAAAAAGCAAAAAGCGAGGAGCAACCAGCAGAAAGCTAAAGGCAACAAGCAGAAACACGAGAAACACACCTATCACAAAAACAGCTTGGACAAAAATAGGCCTCCTACTGAGAAAGGCACATCTTCTCTCCACGGCTTCCGTCGCCCACGCCCACGCTCGCGGCCCTGCAGCACTTCCAGCTGGAGATTCGAAGGCGGGTGATTGACGATTCTGAGCAAGGCACAGATGAAGCAGCGAGCACGACGCATGAAGCAGCTGCCACCTTGGAAATAGAACAGAGGCAAATAAACGACTCTCAGGCAAGCAGTGATTCACACAAAGTCTGCAACACTGCGAGACTCGGACCAAATTCTTTGCAGAGACCTGCATGGTACATGCTGTGGCCTTAATTAAAAGCACAGCGGACTTTTTGTTCTCTCCATCTGAAGTTACGCGGCAAATCTAAAGCTGTGTCACTCATAATGGTCTTCACAACCACCTTTGGAAACACAACCAAATGTAGCTAACCCACCAGCTGCCAATGTGTGAAGGCCTCGAAGGATCTGATCCGGGGTGCTTTTTTCCCTGAAAGCCGAGGGTACCATCCCATGTTGCCAAACAGCGAGCCCTCAGCATTGGCTGCATGGATCCACAGAGGCGCGGTACCTTCTAACAACGCAGTACTGAGACAATCGCGGTGCGAGGACCAGGTGCTGCAAGTGACATGGTGACGTGAAATCAGGATGCGCCTCTCCTACTCAAAGCAAACTCACCTGGGCTGTTTGTCAGCCATGCCAGCTGTCTGTGTTGTGGTCATGACTCATGACTTTACCTTGCTGAAGCTTGACATAAGCTGCCAAGAAGGAAGCATGAGAAGGCGATGAGAAGGCATCACACGTGACAGTGTACTGAGGAAGAGAACGGCTTCATCGAATTTTCCTCTGAATCCACACTGCAATCTATCCTGTCTGCATCCTCACTCTGCTTGCCGACGTCTCCACAGTCCTCCCATGCTGCAGATAAGAAGATTCCTCGCTGAATACGATTTGACCCAGAGTCTCCAAACCTAAAAACTCCACGAACGCTGATACAACCCGAATCATACGAACAAACCAAGACTATAACCTCATCCATTGCCTTCTCCCAGAACATCCAAATCCTGGACTGGTGAATGCCCCTGTCATAGAAACCCAAACAATCGGGGTGAGATGTTAAAGGGGTCATCTATCCTGCCAAGATGTTACGTGGAACTCCCTCTCGAATCATGAGTTCTCCTGACAAAGCCTTCTTTTCACTGAGAAGCATCACTGTCAGCATTAGTTTCCAGTAGCGAGAGAACACTTTACTTGCATTCGCGTAAACAATGCCATGCCAGTGTACAGGCTCTCCAATCTCACGTCAGCAGCAGCATGCAACAAACATTACACAATCTCCATCTTGCCACAACAGGCTGCTCGCATGATGGCTGTGGTACCATCCATAAGTACAGGCCAATGTTGGTTAGCATCGACTTCAGTGGCAAATGTATGGCCTCAATGGACTTTGCAGAACCCATGCTCGATGTTGATTCAGGACTAAAGGGCGGGGGTCTCTTTCCACAGGCCATCCATACATCCCTGCTAGCTAATACAGGGTGAAGTGAGGTGCTTGGGCAGTTCTGCTAGTGGCTTTCAAGCCAAGGATTCCGAAAGACTCTAGATGGTTACTTCCCAAGAAGGGCTACCCTGTGGGACCTCGGGATACACGCGGAAATTTACCGGTTCCACAGAAGGATTCCGAAGGTGTTGCCTTCGGAAAATTGCAGCTCTGGTAGTTTATCCCCTAAATACGGCGGGGACGCCAATATAGACCCAAAATACTATAGAAACCTTATTATGGGGACCCCCAGAAAGGCACCCGAATTTTGGGAAACCCCCCTATCAGCCTATCAGCTCATCTCCTGGGTGTTTGCCACCAGGTCGAACCCGCCGTCACCACCATCATCGATGGAGTGAAGGATCTGCCTGGCTTGTAGCTCTTAGACCCTACCTGGACCCTGGATGTCCTTGCTTTTTGGGGGTAAGGTCCCATAAATTTGTAGGGTATACCCCAAAAAGGTAGGACATCCAGGGTCCAGGTAAACCCTAAAGCTTAGACCCCAGCCCTTGGGCTCCCTGTTTGGGGCCTTTGATGGCTATATAGGGATTCTATTGGGTTAAAAAAGGGTTAAATAGGGAAGAATGGAAAATTCATATTGGGATCATATTGGGATATTGTGGCCCCAGGCTTCAGGGACTACTGAAGGACAGGGTTCAAGGCATTGCAGTTCGTACCCCAAGTAGGTTGACTGCCGAAGGCCCTGCACTAGCCATGAAATGAAGGGCACAAGAGGTGAGGCCTTTTCTGCGGCAACATGAGTCCTTTGCGCACCGCTGCTGTTGATCAGCGCGAAAATCGAAACAAAACTTGATGCACCAGGCTCCTTTGACAAGCTTTCCAAACTCCTCTATCCGCAGCTTATGCACCCCTGCTGCTTTCTAACATTGCTCGCGACAGCAGACACTGCAAGTAGGCACTTTGGGCAAGAGAATGCAAGAGACCAATGTGCGGCGCACGGATGGTGCTTCGCTCAAATGCGCAAATAGCCATAGTCTTGGCGGGTTGACGACTATCCGCAGCTCAACAAATTGTCGGGGACGTGCCAAGGATGCAACAACGCAAACTTCGTTGAGAAGTTCTTGAAGGCTTGCCCAAGGCGCAATGCATTGTACAATGATCAGTGTTCTTGGGGAACTGATACATGAAGAGTTCTGCTTGGACTCTTGCAACAGCCCTGCGCAAACGTGATGTCAGCTCCCCAGTCGCACCGTACGCACCAGCGTCTTCACGTCAGACACACCGCCGCTCCAAGCCATCTACACCACTCCGTTTAGGAACTGAAGCCCCATATCAAGACAGAAGCCTGCGGTTGACCGATATGGACATCACACACAGATGGCTTAGAGCTGCCCGGTGTTCCAGAGCTTGGGCATAGGCAACTGCTCAGGGAAGTTCCGTCCAAACGCATACTGGTCCTGCAACAGAAAGCACCAGTAATTTCACTTCAGGTGCCACCAACTGCACACAAAGAGCTGAAACATGGCACCTGATTTGCCCCAGGTGCATTGGCATTTCCTGTTGATTTCTGCTAGGAAGTAATCACCTCAACAGGCAAGGTTTGCTGGGGCACCGAATGCGTTCATGTGCCACGGGATCATGTTTGTCTCAAAGCGGCCTAAACCCTAAACCCTGAACCCTAACCCCTAAACCCTAAACCCTGAACCGTAACCCCTAAACCCTACCCCCCAACCCCTAAACCCTAAACCCACTACCCTTATGGACACAAAGCCTAGGGGCTTGTGATGCAGGAGGTCGAGATGTCTTGGAGCAAGGCTGCTATGACCTGCCCAGGCACGAAGTCCAAGAGTCCAAAATAGTAGCTTCCATTTTCTTTTCCATCATAGGGTTTAGGGTTTAGGATTTGGGGTATAGCAGCTTCCATTTTCTTTTCCATTATCCCTAATTTATAACCCCAAATATAACCAATCTTTTGTTACCACTTTCGTTTCTATTTTCCATTACCCCAATATAGGCCCAATCCAAAAAGCTGAAAGAGTGCAGCAAAGCAGTGGTGCAAGATGTGCAAAACAAGCATCTCATGACCTCTTACCATGCAAAGCCTGAAAAAATGAATTTCATCAAGTACAGTTAGGAAAGCCCCCGAAGCCTGCAGAGCACTGTCTTGATCCGTGCTGTCGCAGGGCTCTCCGGAAGCAAACTGGTCCAATGTTCCTGACCACATGCGCCCGGTTTTTCAGGACGTTCATGCCATGGCATGGTAGCAGGTCCAGCTGTTAAAGAGCAGCTTACCATGTCTAGATGTCATTCTGAGAAATGGAGCCTTTGCGAATAGAGAATCTGGACCCTAGCAGAAACCGACCTGCCTGGTGTCCGCGTCCGTTGCTCCACAAACCCCTGCGCCGGCCGCATTTCCTGAATCCAAGCAGCGCAAGTAGGGAGCAGGGAAGTTTCCACAAGCACTGCTTTTCAGGGTACAGGGATGTATACAATTCCCTGGAGAGCATCCGCGCAGACCCGCGACAACGCCGGACAGCTTGCCAGTCCACGGTGGCCCTGAAGTCCGAGATTTACCTCGCACAGGCTGAAGAGCCCTGGGCAACCCTGGTAGAGCCATGCGCACCATGAACTTCGTGCTTGGCCTGGCGCGCGAAGGAAGAGAGGTGCGCATTGCGGCAGCGAGCCCAGCGGCTCGCATGAGACGCCCAGCGAGACATGAGCCTTGGCCCCAGGGCCCAAGACCCTCCTAGCTGCTAGGCCAGCGCGGCCAGCAGCGCTTGAGCAACAAAGAGTTCAGATCCAGAGTCCGTGCTTCATCACAAGACCCTTCAAGCTGCTGCGGCCAAGGAAGGATGATCGAAACAAGACAGGTATACTGCTGCATCTCGAAGAGATAGTCAGCAATCTGATCCTGTGTCTCAAGGGTCTAGACTGCAAAACGTATGGTATGCGCAAATGAGTGGCCCACGGCCGAACGCCCAAGAGATTTCAGTTTGCATCCACACCTCGTTCAGCCCCATATCGTCGAAGGCAGCTACCTAACAAGGCTTGCACATTTGCTCTTGTCTGTTTGGTATCCTACAAATGTCTACACCCTTCAGATCATTGTCTTTTGAGACCTTTAATGCATGAGTGATCAGGATGGCTCCATGGACAGAGAGGTCGGTGCGCCTCATCGTCCGCGGCCTGTGTCTCGGGCTCGGGTGCTGGCGCCTGGCTGCAAGCAGTTGAGCCTGGCCTCCCTTAGATGCCCTCGGCATGTTGAAACAAAACAACTACAGGTGCCACGCCTTTGCCTCTGCCTGCAGTTGCTGCAAGTCTATGACTCGCATGACATGAGAAGCATCGTGTCTACAGGCCTCAAAGGAGGCTGCTCGTGGCGCGAAGCGCTTCGCACGTTCAGCACGGCGCCGCTCCTCTTCCTCGAAGAATTCGGAGGACTGTTTGCTCTGCATCATCCGCGTCAAGCGCACATCTCTCTTGCAAACGGCGCCTTGTCCACGGTGAACACAACCTGACAAGTACAACGAAATCTGGACAAACACTGTGTGAGCGACCTATACATCTGCTGTGCCTCAGGAACCTTTGCTGAGGTGCCTGAGCAGACAGCACATGATGCCTTGTATGATAAGTGTCATTGAAGAACAGCCAAAAGCTCAGGGGCAGGCTGGACCGACTGGACCTTAGATAACTCGTGGCACGAATGAATTTCTGCCATACACTATGGGCTGACAAAACCCTAATGCTGAATTCAGTAAGGAGACGAGGGCACGGACATCGATGATGTTGCGCTGCGTTGGTCATACGCCGCTTGCGCGCCTGTTGCTACCTGGGTAGGATGAGCAGAAAAAGGAACTCAGCAGCCAAAATTCCAAGCTGTCTTCAGGTCTTGAAAACGATTGCCTTGGGAGTTCGAAGCTCAGCCGGGCCATGCGCATAGACCTGAGTCCCAGCCTACATATTGATACTAGCCTTCATTGTCCTTCAGCTTCGACCACAGCAGCACTTGATTCTGCCACGGAGAAAACTGTGTGCTTGCATGGCTTGCCAACTGAGACATCAGCACACCGATCTCCGCGCGGGCACTTTTTTCTGAGTGCCTTGGCTTGCTGCTGAGCAAACAGCTCGTGCTCAGTGCCTCTCACAACTGGAGCGCAGATTACTTGGTTTGCGGCCCAGTTGTTGCACATCCGCGTCTTGTACATTGGGTTCCTCCCGCAAGTTGTGTTTCACGACCATTTTAGAACCAGAAGCATTTCAGGGAAAAGCTGCCCACAGTCCTTTCAGCAGCGGCAGCCCAATTCCTTGCGACGGTGCGGCAAGTCATAATGACAAAGCGCAAAAGGGTTTTGGGTCCCCACTCTGCAAGTCTCTCTTGTACCTGAGTGGGGTTCAGCAGGGTTTTGAAGGAAGATCTTAGCCAAGTAGGTAATTCCCTTATGGCCAGTCTGGAGACAAGTATTTTGAACAACCCATGTGGCAAAGCACAGACTCAGTAGTGCACCAAGCGTTCGCATGTTCGATGTGCGGCACAGAGCTGCCAGGGTAGCAAACCTGCACCGATCTGCATCACCATGACAGAGTTTCGCTGGAGATGTATGCGATGTGATCCCCCACCCTCTCCACTTCTTCTCACTACACATGCTACGCTACACCTGTTTTGACAGCTGCCAATTACTGCAAGTCCACCACCACCGCCGCTGCCGCTGCAGCCGCCGCCGACGAGGACTACCACTGCTACGACGTTGTACTGCGATCACCACCACCACTACTACCACTACTACTCCTCCTCCCCTGCTACTAGCGCTGCCGTTACCACTAGTAACTTGAGAGCAGCGCGCACGAAA